TTACCATTGCTGCTTATCTCCTGTTCAGCCTACTGGCTTTCCTGATGTTCGTTTCTTCTCCTGAAGAGATTACAACTAGAAAGGTTTTCCAACAAAAGCATCTGGAAGGGCCTTTACCCATTTCAAGATATCCCTGGTATGAGTGGGGCAACACTACCTCATCTCAAACCCCTTTGGGCAAATTTCAAAACTCTGAAGTTTAGCTTTGCACCACTGCTCATAACATCAAGCTCACTGCGCTTAGGTGTTCTCGGCTAGTAGCCCATCTTGTCAGTTTTGTTGCTAAATTTTTCTAATGTTTAATGGTGAGAACGAAATAATCCGCACCTTGGTATCAAACGAGGCCCCGGAATTCCCTTGGACAGATTTTAAAATTTTAAAGTTTGACTTTGCAGCACTGCTCATCTTCAGTTCCACAGCGGTACTTTTACTTACTTTGATACTTTAATCAGCTGGTCTTTCATCGCATTTCTTTGGGCCACTAATGCAGCTGGTAACTTTTCCATTCCTGTTTTTGAGCCACTCAATCACATAATTACATATAGCCGTTCAAGTGAAACGTTCCATCACGCTGGAGACTTCAGTAATGTCCGGTGTTTTACTTTCACTGATGGTATATAAAGCGCGCCTAAAAAAAAATTCTTTGGGTGAAATTTCGAACATTTTTTTGCAGATTTGCGTCTGGAAACGATCCACAGATGCTTTGGCGATTAGCGCGGATATTATGCGAAAAAGCGAAATTATCCAGGGTATTCAAAAAATGATTAGATTTTCTTATAAATCATCTTTTTTGGAGTTGTCAAGTGGTGCCTAAATACTTTGTACATGCCTAAGTTTGTGGATGCCTGAAAAATTAGAGACATTTGGTTTCGAATTATTGTAAGGTTTTTTTTTCGGAATATTGCCTGTATTTTTTTCAGGATAAGGAGGATAAGAGGCGTTTTCTATATGATGCTTTGAAAATGGCCGAAAAAGCATTAGACAACGAAGGTGAAGAAGGCTGCTGGGAAGCTCATAAATGGTATCGAGTATTTCTTATCTTCTCCATAGCCGTTGTTGGTGAATAAAATGGATGGAAGCTTTATTGATTGGCACGGCCATTCATTTTTATAGAAAATTTTGGCCATCCAGCAATGTTTAGCCACATTCGTCCTCCATCCCCTGATCAGTCATCCTGTCTCAGCGGATTTTTCTATTATAAACTTTCTTTCTATTATAAACTTTTTCTATTATAAACTTTCTATTATAAACTTTCTTTCCACATGCCCCGTAAATGTGCTGTATAGGTAAAATTTCACCGGATGAATTTTAGATAAAAGATTGGGAATTATTTTCGAACTGTAAAAATTTGGGTATTAAAAGCGTTGTTTTAAAAAAAAAGAAGAGAAATTATGACGGAAATAAGGGAAAATTAGAAGAGGGAATACTAGACTGAATTGGATTTGCCCTTTTCAGAAAGCCAAAGTTTATGGTTTTTTTAGTTTTCAGTTAAAGAAAAAACAAAGATTACTTAGCCGATTGGATTTCGTTTCATGTTATTTCATC